TTTCAGTGAAATCAGCTGGGGTTGCACATGAGCTTCATGAGCCTGAAGGTTCATCAGCAAACATTTTGATCCCCAGTCTGCATCTCTTCTTACTGCTGTGAGAAATGCTCAAAGTTCCAGTGAGGAACTTTGCCCCTCTGCATATTTATAAATTTTTTATCATCTTCTACAAGTTCTGCAGATGCACAAACACTTCATAAATAAAATAGTATAAAGTGGAGAGACTCTGACTTGTGTATTCACTGGTAAAACACAAAAACCAAAGAATTACAGGGTTTGTACTTTGCCAAGGTGAGCTAAGTATTTCTTGCTAGCACACAATGGTTTCAGAAAGATAAAATCCATTTGGGGTCACAGATGTTCTTTTGGGGTTGGTGCCATGCTGGCCTTTCCTCATTTGCATTTTTGGTCTGGGTTAACAAAAGCCTGGCTGGATTCCCCTCCTTGCCTGCACTAACAGCACTGCAGGGCTCCCTTCCCTCCCCAAGGGCTCCCCAGCAAAAGCCTCTTTTAAAAACCCTCCTGAGAGCAAATGACAAAATGTTCATATTTGATGGGGTACAAATGGATCTGATCATCCAAAGGCAGGAGTTTTAGCACCAAGGGCAACAAGAGGGGACCTACAACTTACAGATTTGTAGTATTCTGACATGCAGATTTAGTATTATTACTGCTGTTACCTAATTTTAAATGCTTTTTATTACATAATTCAGTATTTCTTTCTATATATTTCAGTATATTTATAGTTATGTATCTCCAGGGACATTGATATTATTATTTGTTAGTAATCCATTGGCCATCCTTAATTCTAAATGTCCCATTAGAATTTATAACAAATTCATACAAGGATTCTTGGAAATAGAGAGACTCTATATTCACTGTAAGATGCTTTAAGGTCCTTGAAAGTTCAACACAAAATAAATTGCATAATTAACTATAAATTGAATTAAGGAGTCGCAGAATGAGAGGAAAAAGAACACTGAGATATAATTTGCCATTCTACCTCCTTAAAAATTAACTCAATTGGCATCAGGAAGATTGAAACCACAGTCAGACAGGGGAGATATAACTGAATTTTCAATAACAATCTTGGACCCTATTTCTTAGGGCATATGTAGAGATTAAAATATATATATATACATCAGGCAATGACAGCATAACTCTCCATTCTCCTCAAACCTCTGCAAGAGGTGAATAAACAAGAAATTAATTCTGGCCCCAGAGCCTGAGAGCACCTTTTGTTCCACAGAAAAAGACAGTTGTCAACTTTCAAAAGCAGAAAAACAGCCTCTGAGAATTTGGGCAGGACATAAAATTCCTACAGAATCCTTTTTTGACATAGAAACTATGGGAACAGAATGAAGAGCCCCTTCATTCCAGGTCTCATTTCTTTCCATAGCATGTAAAAGAACACGACTTCTGCCTTTGGGCTTTCATGCTGCTGTAAAATATTTGTTACTGATACGCTTCATCTGTATTAATAATTTAAAATTATTTTTCCTCTTGACAGATTTTATGCCTAAAGAAGTAAAACACTTGATTTAAAACTCTAGAAAATATTGTTCAAATAAATTTACCTGTCCTATAAACGCTAGCTGAAAAATGTTAGGCGGTAATTTTATGTATTTTTAATTCCACTATTTTCATTAAAATAGCTTTCAGCACAGAGGAATTTCCTTTGTTAGCAATTATACAATATGTTCAAAGTCAAAAAATCTTTAGGATCTGGCAAATATCTGTCTGGTTGGTTTTTTCAGAAAATTTGAAATCTCTTCTTTCAAAGGGTTCAGTTTATTACAGTTCAGAACTCAGGAAACTGTGAAAGCACGAGGTGCTTCCTATCAAATCCCAGACCCTCTTTTCCTGACCTCTTTCGTTTCCAGCAGCAAGCACAGATTTACTCAGCCTGGTCCATCACACAGTGGGAACTCCCAGCAAGGAATTCCCTCAGCCCGGGTGTGATTCCCTGTCCCAGCACCGGGAATGCCCAGCTCTGCTGGCACTGCTGGGCAAGCCCTGGCCAAGTGACAAGAAGACAGAGAGATCTGAATCCATTTGGTGATGGGACTCCTGCAGCAGCCAGCACTGAGGAAAATCACTGCTACTTGATTTTCCATATAAAAACCACTTATTAATCAATTTTGCTCATCCTGAGGCATTTTATCTATGACTAATTGTATACTCCAAATGACTGTGATTTCATTGCCACCTTTTCCATAAAGAAAAAGAAGGAAGTGAAAACAGCATCCCCCAAAGCCTTGTTATGAATACATAAAAATTCTCAGTCGAAAGGAGACCTCGTTATAGCAATAGAATTTATTTTGCCTTACAAAAGTTGGCTGTCACCAAGAGCCACCACACTGCAGCATCCCTTCAGCTCCAAGAATCCCAACGAAGCCACAGGAGATGGGAGCTGAGCCGAGATCTGTCACTTCAGCACCAATGGCAGCTTTATAATGAGGTCCCAAGGTTGGGGCAAATGTAAAATCATCCAAGAATAGAACTATCTGTCTTCAGCAATGGTTCCTTGCTCATTTTCCCTTGTCAGTAAATTGGGAAACACCCACTGGCTACAGCAACTCTGTCCAGTTCCATCTATAAGGAATACCATTCCAAACTTTACCTAATGTACTTTATTTCCACAGGGCACACTCCCCATTCCTACAGATTAGGAAAGAACTTTCTTGAGAAGGGACAGAATTCAGATGGGACACACAGGCCACAAACCACAGAGACAGATATTACCTTGGTCTCTCTTGCTCTGTGATGTTCTAAGTCAAGCTAAACTAGAAGCAGCAATAATCCTGGATAGTGGTCATCTTTGTTCCAGTTCTCCCAAACCAAACTCCAATGTATAGCCCATAACCAAACTCCAATGTATAAAGCATTTATTTGTGGAGAACTTTCTTTAATACAAATTTATTTTATCGAAACAGAAAAGCAGATGCCACAAGAAGAAACCAATAATGATGTAATCTGTCCACAGCATCACCCTGCCAGCAGGAACTGCAGAGTGTGCAAATAACAGTCTGCCCTGAATCCCACATCACATCCAAGTGCCAGTCAGGTGCCATTGAGGAGAAAAAAGGGGAACCCCAAAAGCCGAAAAAACACAAAGGAAAAAGGGGTAAAAACCTACCCCATGTCCATAGGAATGTGATGCAGATTTGGGAATCAGTGGGGTGAGCAAAGTTTGCAACAGCCGGGTCTATTCCAGAGGAGCACACCGAGTACTGGTGAGTGTCCAAAAGGTTTCTGATAACTGGGATGATGTTTCTGCAGGCTCTGATGGATCATGTGTCCATTGTGTTTTCTGACCCAGAACAAATGTTCTGTCTCAGAAGCAGTTGCAACTCCTCCAACAGAAAAAGGACAAGACTATCACAGAAAGGGCTCTAAAGCCAGACTGAGAGAGAGATTTCTGCAGATCTGCCAAACTCTGAGCAGTTCCCCTGCATCAGAGTTAGGTACTAAGACCTCTACATTTCCCACAGTTTGTTTTCAGTCAAACATAAACCCCCAAGGTTTTATGCCAGGACTAAAGTTAATACCAGTAGCATGAGCAAATGTAGGGTGCCAATGGGGAAAGATGTCATCACCAAAATTTGCAGAAGGGCTAAACATCAGAAATTCCTGAAATTTAAAGTGGAGAATATATTTTATTTTCCTTGAGTGCAGCATTACACATGCACGTGATTCTTCAGATGCAGAATGAGGCCAAGAGGGCACATATCCAAAATCCAGCATACAGGAAATCAGCTTATCTGCTGCATATGCAGATTCACACCTTCATATCATGGCCAAACAACCAAGAGCCCTAAAATGAAGCCATGCAGTTTCCATTTATTAAATAAAGAATTGCAATGAAACGGTCTTTCAAGGAGTTGAAAGTTCTGAGGAGGTGAGAAAGTGAATCAGAAGAAAACTTCTGCAGCAGCATCTTACGGCCTTTTAGGGTACTCGGGTACTACAGTTTTGTCCAGAGGAGCCATGAGGAAACACACCTGTAACATTCCCTAAACCTTGATTTCAATTGCCTTGTACTCACTTAATGCTTCCCTAGACTTAATAAGAAAAGAAAAAAATTTAAAAAAAAGGTGATCAATGACAGCAGGAAACTTTTTACAGAAAGACCAGAGAGTTCACAAGCTTTACATCCACCGCAAAGTCCAGCACAGCCCTGAATCCATCACTACTAAACCAAAGAGAAGTTAACAGCTCAGAGCCGTTCCTACGTGAGGGAACTTGCTCTCTGGACTACAAAGCCACCTCGGGCTAGGGAAGCAAAGAAGTCTGGGTACACACTCCACACTCGTGAAGCTCCACCTCCACGTCCCTCACTCACCAGCAGGATCAGCGCGACCACTCTGCGAGATCCAACGTGTGCCCGACAGACAGAAACTGCCAATGGAACTCGGATCTTAAAAAAAACCCAAACTGCTGACAGACCACACCATTGCATTGTTTACCTCAAAAAGCTAATGACACCCTATTCTTACAGGTAAACACACAATTATGGAAGCTCCTCGGCTTTGGTACCGGCTGCAGCCCTGTTTCCTCTCTTTCTAGCACTAGGGCATAAATCATCCACAGTGGGAAACGTTTCCAAGATCCCTGGTAACAAGCAGATCTTACCATTTTAAAGCACTCTTAGCTAGACTCTAGACTACATTGTTCTCCTATCCCTATGCAGCCCCACGGATTCCCTGCCTCTGCACTGCCAGCTGATCCCGTCCATCCCCGCGGGTTTGCTCCAGGCACTCCCTCCCTTTCAGTCCGAGTGCTGGGCTGGACTCGGCTTTCCAGCGCCGTTATCCGCCTACAGCTCCTTTTCGGGGCGGCGAAACCCCCGCAGCATCCCCGAGCCCCGCAGCATCCCCGCTCCCCGCTCCCGGGGCCCGCACACGGCGGGATGCGCGGCGGGATCGCCCCGGGCCCCCCCGGCATGTGCGGCCCCGAGCCCCCCCGGGCCGGGCCCCGCTCCCCCCGTGCCCGGCCCTGCCCGCCCGGCGGGGGTCACGGACCGGCCCCCCCGGCTCGGCCCCGCTCCGGCCGCGGCGGGCGCAGGGCACGGGCAGGGAGCGCGGCGGGGGCGCATGGAGAGAGCGGGCACGGCGGCGGGCTGCGGTAAGGAGGGCAGGGACACGGACCGGGAGGGCGGCAGGGACAGGCATGGGGTGGGGATGGCATGGACAGCGATGGGGGGAACAGGGATGGGGTGGGGATGGCATGGACAGCGATGGGGGGGACAGGGATGGGATGGGGATGGGGGGATAACGGGATAGACTGGGATGGGGGAGGATGGGGATAAACCGGGATGAGGAAAGGCAGAGAAGGAATAAGGATAGAGTAAAGACGGGGATGAATCTGGATGGGGAGAGGACGGGAATGAAACGGACTGGAGTGAGAAAAGGGGATGAACCGGTATAGAGAAAGCAAGGGAATGAACCTGACTGGGGTAAAGGAAAGGGCTGAACGCGGGTAGGGTAAGAAAGGAAGGAACAGGACTGGAGTAAGGCAGGGGCTGAACCCAGCTGGAGAAAGGAAGGGAATGAACCGTGCCAGGGAAAGGCAGCGGCCGTGCTGGGGTAAGGAAGGGCTGAACCGTGCTGGGGTAAAGCAGGAGCCGAGCCGGGTAAGGCAGGAGGAGCCGCGGGAGCTGCGGGGTCCGGCGGGGCAGGTCTCGCACCCCACAGGACCCTGCCCGGCCGCAGAAAGTTTGTTAGTCGGGAACCCCTCCCGAAAAGGGAGAAGCCCCTTCCCCGGGGATGGCGGAGCCGCCGGAGGGGCAGGAGCCGGGACACCCCCGTGGCACAAGGACAGGGGACAGGGCTCAGCCCGGGTGCCACAGCCCAGCCCCCGGACAAGGGCTGGGTCACACCCGAGTCACTGCCAGAACTCAGCTTTGCAATGCAAACGAGCCCATCTTCTGAGACATCTAAAGATTTCTGTTATTTAGGACACGTTTTACTCATGTGCATTTTGTTGCCTGTAAGTATAAATCTTTTAAGTGCAAGTTATAAATATTAAAGCTGGAATGCATAGGGGGAGTGTTGGTATCAAATTTTACAATAAATTTATTCCAGCCCAGTTCGACACACACCAACCTGATGCATTTAAGCTGCACTTAAAGAAATTAGTGGAATTATTTGGTTTAACAGTGGTAGGTGCCTGTTTCAGGGACTGGTGATTGACTTAAAAACAATAATCAACATATTTATATAACACAGTGTTGTTTATATGTGGGGTTTTGAATCTAAGAGGTATTCACACCGTTTCCTGAACTGGAGTGATTCCTGGAATAGAAAGTAATGACTGGTTTGGTGTTTCCCCTCTGTTTGAGCTACATCTCTGTGTACACTCAGAATCTGAAACGTGCAATCCTGCCCAGAGAGAGCAGGGACACATTAACACAGCGTGTCTTCAATAGACATCTGGTTGCAAAAAAAACCCAAACTGCTATGAAGGACTTTTCTCTTATTTTTTCCTTCCCTAGTTCTTTTCTTCCACCTTCCTCTCATCTCTGGAAGCTCCACTGGTATTGGAATAGGCAGTAATTATTCCAATCTCCGTAAGTAATCTCCTTTTCTTATGTTTTTTTATACTGCACTAATGGCATGCCTTGCAGTCATATACAGCTGTAGGAATATAATTTTTAAAAGTCCTCTACCAGATACACATCAACCCATTAAAAAGGAAATAGCTTCCTGACTAAGGAAACAACTGAGTTAACAGAAATGTGCTTAACCTTGTAATATTTATAAAGACAAAATTCATAGAAATTACAGAATTGTCTGAAATTGAGGACCATCAATTTTGTGTCAGGTACAAGTACTTAAATATTTCATTTTTAAAAAAATTAAAATGCTCTTTTTCAGCATTTTCTCCCATAACAACAGATTAGCACATAGCTGCTAAAACTGATTTACAAATGGAGCACACTGACATCAATCAAAATTTGTATCATTTTGGCACCCACTAGTGAAAAAAATGTGGCTAAAAATTACTTCCAGTCACTGAAATAAAACAATTCCTGACATTTGACTTGCTTCTAACTCTCCTTTTTATGACTGCCTTTTGTAGTTATTACATGAAGGCTTTTTGAAAAGGAAATACAGCATTGAAGGAGCCAATTATCCTTGTGTCACTGGTCCTATTTTGGCAGAAAACCATGTGAATGCAGGGAAACAGAGTAGCATGTTCAATGTCTTAGATGGAAGAAATAATGACAAAAATAGACACACAGCAATTAAAATCCTCCAGATCCCTCTTGGAGCAAGTGCTGCAGCTCAAGAAAAGCCATGTTGTAACTAGACTATGACTTTGTAACCATGTTCAATCAAAGATGCCCATAATGGATGAGAAAACATAAGATTATGTGTAAGGTTTAAAGAAAGAACAGACAAAAAGTTCCCTTATTTACTTTGGACTGTGCATAAAGGAACAACAAAGTGAGAGAGCTACTATCATTTGCATACTAGAAATAATAAGATTTTAAACACTTGCTGTCACAACCTACCAACTTGGAGAAATTAGTCAGAGTCAAGACCAGCTTCTGTCAACACCAGGTATTTGTAGGATCTACCCCTAAGAAAACTTTGGTAACTGGGATCAGAGTTTGGTTGGTAAAAGTGAAGACAGTGCAAAACCAAGTCAGTGCCAAGTGTTGTCTCTCAGACTGCCTGGTTACCCTTGAACTCCTCAAAAAACCTGTTAAAATTGGGCTGAAGAGTGAGTGCAAAATTAGCAGCTGCTGATTAAAATTGTTCAGCCTCTGGCTACCTACTAGATGACAAACTGGCACCACCTAAGTCATGGAAAACACCTAATAGCAGTACAAAAATAACTGCAAAGTGTAAATGCTACATGTGGCAGCCTCCTCATTTGTTAGTGAACTGCCTGAAGACTTGGTGAGAAAATACTCACAGTGATGTTGAGAGTAATGTTGGGTTTACATGATGCACAAAATGACATTTCATAGCACTTCATTATATATGTAGCTAGTCTGTGCTTAGTTTGGAATTCATACATGAAAACCATTATTTCCTACCTATTCTCTGCTTTCATGATCCTTGGCCCCTAACTCGGATTTTTCCCTGCCACTCTCCCTCCCACTCCTCCATGGCAGGACAGCTTTTACTGCATTGGCTTCAGGTTCTGGAGCTCTGTAATAGAAATGTTGTAGCAAACAGTTCAGAGCAGGCTGAGTATTGCACTCCTTTCCAAATGGGTACTTATATCTCTTAAAATTAAGTTTTTAGACTATGTTTTTTTTACTTTGGCCTTACTGATACAGTTCATCAGGCCTGACATTCTGGGCCTCTCCACCAGGGCTCTTCTCTTTAATTATTGTAGGGCTCAGACTGTGAAATGTTCTACTGACAAAGAAGATAATATTAACAAAATGCCAGGTAGGCATTAGCCAGGAAAATAACCAAACCAAACTGTGGCCATGGTTCAATTTTATAGTGACTATGGAAAGAGAGTGGAGCTGTCCCAGGCTTTTGGGAGGTACGACAGGAAGACTTCTCAGTGGACTCCTCAGCTATAGAGAATTCATGTAAGCCAGGGATTGAACCTGCTTACTCCCCCAACACTGAATTTCCTGAGCAAGAGCAAAGGCTCAGAAGCAGAACTGCAGCTCTTCCCACAATGAGAGGGCTGTGCCTGGAGAATCCTGCTCTTGTCCAGGACAAAGGGGTGAAATCACAGGAGCAGAGTCCAGGCAGGAATGGAGCTTTGTGACTTCAGCCACTGGCAGGCTCAGCATTTAACACACCTTTCTGATCAGAAATAAACTTTGCTGTTGGCTTCGTTGCTTTAGAGGTTTGTTTCTGAGAGAAACACACGATTTTCTTCGCCAAGTGTTTCTAGGTTTTGATCAGCTATGTTTGGTTGGTTAAGTCAAGTTTATCTCTAGAAAGTATTGACAGTAAATATAAATCATTATTAATCAGCAGTCATGAACCTCAGTCACTGTTTCAAATACTTGAATGAAGAGAGCCTAAAAGTGTCAGATAAATAAAAAGGCAGAAAAATTTTTCTACCCAAACTGCCTTCCTTTCCTTCATATTGGTACCTCCTCTACCTCCTTCCTAGCACTTCTGGGATTTGTCTCTGAAGGAATTGATTGTAGACATAGGTAAAAGCAAAAACAGTTATCCAGGTTGCCAATACATATCAGGTATTATAGAAAGATGGTTATTATCCAAACTGTATAGTTATGTATTCAAATATTAAATCTGTACGATAAACCCATTTAATGATATTCACTCTTATATCCAAGAGCACAAGGAATGTCCAGAGATATGTAAAAGGTTCATTTGCAGGCCTGAATGAAAAACACCAAAACTAGGAAATATACAGACAGTGCTTTCAAATCCAGCATTAAGATTCCTGTCTTAGAACCTCTGGAGATCCTACAAAATTATTCCAGTGACCAGAGTTCTTTCACAAAATGAGGAAGGAACAGAATCATTCCTGCTGTGGCTCTGCTCTGTGCATGAAATCCCACCTGGGATTTCCCACCACAGGGACAGACACCTCCTAAAGGGAAAGGTGAAGGAATGACCGACCTGGAACCAGCAGGCCCTGGAGTGTCCCCTTTGAATGCTGTCCCTGGGGATTTGGGAGAGCTCAGGGAGCAGCAGTGCCAGCCCAGCTGACTGCCAGCTGTGTGTCACTGGGAGCTGCACTGGAACGTTGAATAAACTTCTACTCATAAACAAGGAAATGGCTCTGTACACAGCAAGAATAAAACACTCTTTCCATTGCTAGGGAGCCTGTAGGCAAATCCTGTCTTTTTAGCAGAATGGTGTCCCAGCTCAGCCAGTCTAATGCAGTTCTCCAGGACAGGAACACAAGCTCCCACTGACCCCGAGCACACCCACACCTTCACCTGCACAGGGGCAGCTGCTGCCTCAGCTCACCCAGGGGAAGAAACAGGGTGGGGTGGGCTCTGTGTAAGTACCTCACAGCAGTTCTCTTGGCTGTCCCAGGTTTGGGACATGCAGAAAGACAAGGTTTTCAGCCTGGGTGTGGCAGCTTTGCTGGGAGCTGGTCTCTGGAGTGAGAACGTGATGCCAGGAAGTTTGAGACAGAGGGAATGGCTCTGCACTGAGACTTCTGCACAGCACAGCATCCCCTTGAGAAGTGTCAGTGATCAAAGCACCAGCATCAGCCACCCATCCTCAGTCTCTCTCTTCTCCAACACTGCCAGAAACCATGTGGGTCTGTGACAGCAGGCAGTGAGGGAAACATGCTGTAGCTGCCCCTCTTTTCTTCAGAGCACAGCAAAGTTTGATCCCCAGAATAATCTGCTCTTTATCTTCATTCACTCTATTTTTTTCTCAGCGTGGATGTTTCCTGACAGTGCTGAAGAGGTTCCCACCTCCCTTTCCTCAAGGGCACACCCCATGTATCCCTGCAGTTTTCCACATGCACTTCATGTTTTAATGACTGCAGCTGTGCAGAAGGGAAGGATGTTCTCAGGTCTCCAGAACCTCACCTCAGTTCTTTGTTCTTCTCCCCTAATAAGTAATATCCTGCTCAGTATCTTTCTGCCATCAATTTATTTTATGGTGGCTTGAAATCATCTGTTATACCAAGAATAAATTTATCACCTTTTAATTTATTAGGCTGGAATCTGCCTAATAAATGGATTCACTTCCCTTCAAGCCTGACAGTTTCTCATCCTCCTGTTCGTACAGGATGTCTCTTGAAAACTCCAAATTGTTCACTTCCACTGTAACTACTGACTTCATGTTTTGTTTAAAGCAGCTTCTCTCAACTCCCACCTCCCAGTTCTGATTTTTATTTAGTGGAAGAATAACACATTAGAATTCATTCCTCTGGACCTTCATGGCAAACATACAGAGTCTAGTCCCAGCCTGCCCCTACCAAATGAAGAGAAATGATGCTTTAGTTTTTGGAGGGGATCCCATCAAGCTGGTACAAACAGCCATGCTGAGAAACTTCTCAGAGAAGGATAGGGGGAGAGATGCTTTAGAGGTGATGATTGCATTGCAGCTGTTTGTTCAAGCACCTAAAAGTGCAGTGGATGCCCAGATGCCTTTATGCAGAGCATCCTTCAAGGAGAGGTGGACACCTCTGGGAAGCTTGCACAGAGTCTCTGTCCTCAGGTGCTTTGAAAACTCGGCCTCCAACTCTGAGCTGGCAGAAGAAAGCAATTGAGCTGGCTTTGACAGCATTTCTGCCAACAGGGATTTTAGCTCCAAGACTTAATACGTATCTTGCTAGAACTTCCTGAAACACCTCAGACTTTTTTAAAAATTACCTCACATGACATCATGACCCCTACAATCTTCAAGGACCTGTGTGAAGATAATTTGCTGAAGGACATTCCAACCAGAGCCCCATGATTGTTCTCTACTCTTAATGCAAATAGTGCTTTTATGATTTTTTTTTTCTATGGGCTCTTTAGTTCTAAGTTCCTTATCTTTTAGTTGCTGGGTTTAGCTGCAAATATGTTAATTCCTTTATTCCTCTCCCTAAAATAAGGATTTGTCTTGCAGCAATTGTTTTTTTCTTCATTAGCAACTAATCTTAGTT